ACTCAAGAAGTTCTACCAGTATGAGAAAAGTGCGCGAAAATTTTGCGGAAAGGGTAGACAAAGTGTCGCTGTTGTATTCATTAGTTCATCGTTTTGAACAAAGGTATCACATCAAATTAGTAGCTTGTGCAACTCAAGTAAATTTGTACTAAATATAAACCGTTTTTCAGAACTAAGAATATCATTGGTTGATTGATAGAAATTCTGTTCGTTTTGAACGTCATTACAGGAATGATTAAAATGCCAGCATAGACTATGAAAAATTTTCTCAACAGATTTCGCTAAACAAACACATTCTTCAATAGTTTGGGTAGTTCAGTGCCGAAACACGCAGTTTTCTTATATCAGATGTTTACCATATGGTACATGCGTTCGATTCACATGAGTACGCGAGTAGTATAAAAATTTTCAAAAGCGGAGCAAAAACCTTAGTGCTTAGTCAATGTACCTCATTCAGTTATTTACTTACACACATGTGCACCGACGAAAATAAATGTAAAACAACTTTCATGCTGAAGTTTTCAATTCTTTCCACATCTTTAAAAGGTAAAACATTGTGCAAACGCAGTTGACGGAGAAGTTATCACTCAGTATCCATATGTTACCTCTGTCACATAGTAGAGAGAAGGCCCAGGAAAAGTTGAAGAGAAAAGGCCTAAGGCTCCAAGCACGTAATGCTACTGGAGAAAATTACCTGAAACAGTAAGGTCTCATATGACTTGTTGGCAATGAGCACAAGAACAGCTTGACATAGAGCTAAGTTAGAAACGGATAACAAAATAGGATCCGATATCATTGCGTGCTGCTCCTGGCCGCCTTCTATAAGCCAAGATGAGGGCAAAAGCTCTTGTCAGCCCTTCTAAACCGACGAAAATGCAAAACAGTTTTGCAGTGTAACAGGAGCGCTCCCATTCTTCCATGGTTGCGTCGCGCGAGCTGCACGCGCAGCCAGCCAGGTAGTAACATGTGATGCGGGGAGCGTCTATTGTCAATGAATGTTTTCAGAAGACGAATGAGCTTTTAAACGACTTTCCTTTTGCTCTGAACAATCTGCTCTACTTTTCCATCTTGGCGCTTCAATATTCCTTGAATGTTTTAGCGGTTTTCTGTGTCTTGTGATAGACTTACATAGAGAGCCCTTATCTCCGATCACATAGTTTTTTTTTAGTTTTTTTGCATAGTTTCCTAAGCGTCCCGAGATTTTCAGTTGATAATGAAAAGAAAAATCAAACGGGAAGGATACAGCGGCATCTCCGATGCAAATTAAGCGGCGACGCGTTCTTATTGTTTAGTTCAAATTTTACTTTGTTTGCCAATTGCAAATTGGCGTTGCTAAATTTGACACACTTCCCACGAAAGTCATATTGATCTATGACCAGTTCTTTACCGCTTCTATTTGCTCAAACCTCAGATTGCACGTATAATGTTGTGATTCGGAGTAATTGAAAATGAGGCATTGCTTCGGCATTGCGAAAGCGAGATTAAAGATTTTATTTTTATATCTCCAAATCCGTCATGGAAAAGCATCGGATAGCACTTTTTTTTTCAAGATAACAACTCGCAAGAGAGTGTTCTTTAAGAAACAATCTTGTTAAGAATGGAGAGAGAGAGAGATATGCAGATCAACGTTAGAGAAAAGTGAAAATGAGTGCAGGACAAAAAAAAACAAATTTGGCGTTTCTGGCCAGGTAGATGTTGGGCCAAAATCTCCCATCAAAATTCCCTTTTTTTTCGCATCATGCTAGTACAAGCCTAATCCAGAGATGAGCTGAAGAAAGAAGCCCTCTGCCCACAAAACTGGCACAAAGAAGACGAGTACACCAGTGTATCACACATAAGACACTGAAATGACATAGGATCAAGCCTCCAAAATACGCAAAAGTTCCAAGAAAGCCCTCATTGCAACTTGTTTTCACTTCACATTGAATAATGCACATAAGTCTTTGCTGGAGAGCTAGAATGACTGAGTTTCTTCCGAAAGGGATTATTGTGGTAGCGCCGTTCTTTGTCTACGAAACCGGACATCTGAGCTTCAAGAGTAAAAGTCGCGCCTAGTTTGCTCTAAGCGCGAGCAGATCTGATCTCACTGCTGCGCGTGTACCTTGCAGACAAGTCACTCTCTCCTAGAATTTTCGCACCTGAAAATAGGGTGGTATTTGCAATTTGCGAAGTTTCGCAATAATGACCTTTTGAGTTCGAACTTGATGATTTTGACATCCAATAGTGTATGACAGTCCCTCAAGGGATAGTCGCATAGTTAAAGTGCCCGATCATCAGAAGTTGCATACCATTAGTGAGAGCTTCTAGCGCTGATTCCAAATCTTCTTCTTCCATTGTCTGAGGAGTTTTTCTTAGGAAGGAGTTACCGAAATTTCTTGGAACTAAAATTGGCAGAAAAACCAAACGCTATTGCCACCTTTCTAGAGCGCAAATAAGGAGGATAAGTGTCACTTTTCACATAATAAACTTCTCTGTCTCGACCCATACTTTCTAGTGATCTATTTGACTTCTAAAATTTTTGTCACGATACTTCACCCCAGCCATCATTTCATTTTTGCCTTAAGAAATGCTCATATGCTTAAGCTCTTCTCCGGAAGGGCTTCGCAGATAAGAAAAGCAAATTGAATTAGCATTAAGCTCTCGCTAATAGTATACAGCTTGTGGTAATGGAACACTCCGACTTTGTGACCCATCCTCTCAGCCAATTTCTCTTTTTCTGTTTTTTCTCCATCACAGTGGCGAGCCATTGAAGCTTTGGTGATCGGTAGAGCTTTTTAGCTTTTTATCCTTATGTATGTTCTTGCTCCTTGTAGATTTTTGCCTTTTTGTCTGTCAGCTCCTGATCAGCAGTCTGCATGAAGTAGCAGTTTTTGGCATCATTAGAGGCCAAATGCATGAACATTTGGAGGAGGGAACGCCAGCTCAGGTTAGAGCTTATTCTTAAGCTCCGGAGTTTGGATTTCACAATATCTTTCCATTCTCAAGTGTTTCTGCAACTTTTGATATGAAAGTATCGGGCAGGAGCATATAATTTTGAGCCGTAGGTTTCAATTTTATGTATTAGGTTGTAACATAAGTCTTATTACACTCTGAATTCTCAAGGCGATAAGTCGAAAAAATTAATATTTTCTTTCAAAAAAATCCTATAGATTTGCAACTTGCTCATGAAAAATGCACACTACATCAAATGTACCATTCCTGTAATTTTTACTCATCTAGAAATTGAGAAAACGAAAATTTTCGTGTTTATACAAAAAAGCCTTTGAAAGTATAGCCGTAAATTATCAGCTTTCCACAAGCTCCTCGAAAAAAAGTTGATTTTAGCGAAATACCAATGCGGCAATTCGAAAACTAGAACCTATGGAGGGCTGAAATCTCAGAATTGTACTTCTAAGGGCTTGTATATACAATTACATGAGTGGAAAAAGCATAGCTTCGTTTTTGTACAAACATAAAAATTTTGGTTTTCCAATTCTCTAGATGGAAGAAATACAGGAATGTACATATGAGTATCCTGTTAGTGTGCAATTTTCGTAAACAAGCTGGATATCTGTAGGACTTTTTTAAACAGGGATTTGACTTTTTTGCAAAACGTTTGCAAAACACCTTGTGAAGCTTTCTTTGCTCTATCGAATGGTGTTTTGAACCCTATTAGAAATGTGAAATGCACGACTTATCGCCGTAGGAAGCTAGAGTATAAAGAGACTTATGTTACAACCTAATATCCACTGATAAACTCCATAGCTGACAGTTTTTTCATCTCAGTCACTTTTCTTTCTTCAAAGGTAATGGAGACAGTTCAAAGCTGTACTTTTTGGTTCAACCCAACAGTGCTTATAATGTCTCTGGTATGAACAAATGAGCTACTGAAATAGTGAGCTTTTGATAAACCCTAACTCTCGATTTGTGGTTCATCGCACTTTCATGGCTTCGTAAATACGCGCTCAACAATAGAAATCTTATGCGCTACAAATACTAAAAAGCTGGAGTTTTCTTTAAATGAAAACAATGGAAAAAACATGGCGATCGCTCTATCGATCCCTTACTTGGACTTCTTCAAAGTTTGGAAAAATTTAATCGACCAAGGCAAGAACATAGGACGTGGTGTTTGTTAAACTTCTGAGGACTTTTTATTACGGTGCATTGCAGTGTCCAGCTTTGGGCCCATGGCTTTCTTGCCTAGAAACTGATAAGGGAGTCCCATCTAAGGTTTCGGGCAGAGTTCACGCGATTTGATCGTCGCGAGTCCAATCGCTAAAGACAAGTGTTACGAGTTCATTGCATGCCGATCTTCTTGTATTCGATTGTGATAGTTAGTCACGATTAGTCGTGTTGGAAAACTATCACAACCGAGATGCAAGAAGATCGACATGCAATAAACTCATAAAAGTTGTCTGTAGCGATTGAATCGCGACAATCAAATCGCGCGAACTCTGTTTGAGGCCTAAGGCACTGCCTAAGCGGGAGCGCAAATGACTCCTAAGAAATCGATCCCTAAATCCCTCCGCGTCTGCGCTGTGACCATAACCTGCAAATGAGTTTGCTCACTTTAGCACTGCGTTCGCGCTGGGACTCGTCTTACTTCACTAGTGAATTATGGTAACGGCGCAGGCGCGAATTCGCTCATAGAGTTTTCAGTCGTTAGCGGATCATTTGTACCGCCGCTTGGGCAGTGTCCCACAAGGGACCCCTAATCAGTTTCCAGCCAAAAAAACACATGCATCAGATTTGCTACATTACCTTCAAGCATGTAAATATTTGGTAATGCAGGAGAAACTGCATCAGCTGCTACCAATATCTTTTTAAGTCTTTGTTGCACAATGTAGCCTTGTTCAAACACTTCGGAAACGACCTAAGGAATGCTAATTAAGAGCGCTTTTTTTGAAAGTTTGAAATAAGACGTACAGTATTTCCAAAATTGAGCAGAATATCATTGCAACATGCAAGAATTAGGTCGCAAAGACGTTGCCACTAAAAGGAGGGAGTAAAAACTTAGTTGAATGGCACCTAAACCGCTCTTGGCTTTGTATCCTTTGAATTTTGATGGCTACTCGTACGAAATATATATTACAGCTGGAAGCATCGGTCATAACTATTTTGGTCCCTGCTCGATTTTGCATTGCTACGAGTCTCATAATTCTTCGGAAGCGCACCCCCGGTAAGCAAGATTCGACAAGCTTGCATAGTCTTATAAAAATTGTGCGCTCGTGCATTGTTGCGGTGGATTAGTTACACCTATCGAATTGCCAACACCTAGCAAATAGCAATTTGTCGCTCTATGCGCGAAGTATGATCAACCGACTGTGGCACATCGCTTTCCAATAGCCAGTGCTGCATAGTCTTCTCTCGTTAGATCATAAATCTGATGTGCTCTGATACTTGTAATACTCATTTGCGCCCACTAACTGTGAACTTTGAAACGTCTCGGGAGACAATAGCCCTTTGCCAATTCTTGGAGTATTATATAGAACTTCACTGAGAAGCTCAAGGTGCCAATTTCAAGCAGAGCAAAGTGGCAGTGCCCGTTTTTAATGCTTGCTCGTCGGTTACATTTTGTACTGAAGCAGTGGTGTTACTCTTCTCTTATTCAAAACATTTTTACTGAAGACGCCATGATTAGAATATGAGACCATTGAAGTCAGCAGGACGTACCGCCGTTATTTAACTAGCTATATGCACTTGCACCGTTGACTTATTTCGCATAGCTTCAAAAGTAAACCTTGCCGTAGTTACATAGTTTGTAAGTGCACTGACAAACGCATCGCTGATCAGTTCTCTTGCTTTCTGGAACGCTCCAAACGACGTTTAGCTGTGACACCATTCAATCTATTTGTAATGGTAAAACATCTGCAAAAGTCCACTAGTTCAAAGCTTACTGGGAAAGCAAACAAAATGCAATGACGTTCGAAAAACTAAGTACCCTACCTTCCTGTACAAACCGCATCCAGATTGCTTTGTAAACGCGACCTGTTGCCGTGTTCATCAACGAATTCTGAGGGTACAGTCAGGGTTAGGCTTTATCCTCAGGATCTTTGGCCGTTTTTATGAACGAATCTTGGGTGGGGTAGGGTTTACCGAAGCGAATAACCCGTATTAATCAACATTGATCAATGGACCTTGAGGGTAAATTCTAACCTTGAAGACTAAACCTTACCCCAGAAAGCTACTACCCGTACTCACGAACGTGGCTCATCAGGGCAATCCAACCTCACCATAGAGCAAGATAAGATTTACTCTGACATCAAATTATTTCTCGATGTACTACTCAGCCCTAGCGATACTGTTTTGACAATAAGCACATGTTCATGTTTAGTGCTATCTCAAATTTCGCATGGCATATTTTCGTGTTTTCGTTCAGATATCATCCGGTTATATTTTTGCCCGAGTTGTTATTAGTAAAAGAAACTTAATGGTGAGAAGTACATGTCCAACTAAGGGCTCTGATATGGCGAGCGTCAAACTCAGCAACTCGGAAAAAATTCCGTAATATAGAACTTCCACATTCAAACCTTAGTCCACCAGTATACCGTTCAATAACTGCTTTGATACATGGCCAAACTTTCGTAGCTCAACCAGAGTAAACTTGAAGCTGACCAACAAAATACCAAATTTTATTCTAGTTTTTGTAATATGATTAGACGAGGCGATTTTAGGACCTAGGAAATTTAAGAGAAAATAGTTAGAAATATTTGTTTGTTGTCAAAACAGTATCGCTGGGACTGAGTGATGCATCACTATGTTTGTACGAAGTTTCAGGGTAAATTTAGCATTGCTCTATGCTAGGGTTGAATTTACCTTAACGACCCAGTTCGGGAATACGGTTTATTCGCTTTCTGACGTAAGATTTACTCTCAGAAGTCGTTAATGAATACGGGGCAACCTCTCTTTGGGATAAAGTTTACCTCAAATGTATAACCCTTGAGGTTAAGCGCTCAGAAGAAGTTTTAGAATTCATATTATAGCACTGTACAAAATGCGCGCAGCACATATGTGTACAGCACCAGATAAAAAACAGTATTCTGTAAACAGTATTCGCAGTATTCTTCTTTACAAATTTTGGTGAACTCTGTTTCACTGCACTGAGAAAGTTATAAGGTCTTGCATATTGTTCAGCGAAGATGCAGATTAGTAAACAAACGGTTTTGGAGCGGGTACATAGTTGACAGATCGCATGTAAATATAAGGCGGTGACGAAAAAGATGCGAAAAGTAAACGGACCCAAATTTATCGCCCACCGCTTCATAGTTAAAATCACGCTTGGATATTAGCGCCACTCCACTTTGCCGAACGCCCATAAACGGCCGCGGAACTGGTGGGGAAAATGAGGCGCGCCCCAGTGCCAATCGATTGGAGCACGTTATTCTTCGCGGACTTAGTCACTGCTCGCAAACCGCTGCTGTATCAGTCTTCATAATTGATCTTCCACACTGTGTTATAGGGTCATAAGTATTGGCTTGTTGTAGAGAACTGTTCACCTCCATGTTTCGCTTTCACATATGGGGACATACCTTGATTAGAAGATTGTACGCGCTGAACTCTGTATGTTCCAAGCTTTGCTACTTTAGGTCGAAGGCCAGCGTAGAGTCTTTTCACACCCACATCGGGCGCATCCGCGACAACATTGTCAACTCTCACGTGCTTACGTGCATCTATCGGCCAAAACCTCTCGAATACAAACATGACGTGGATGAAACTCTTTTTAATAAAGTTGTTCGGCCGAGGATATCATCGTACAATGTGGAGGGTTCGAAACTGAACATGGTTAGCCTATCATCCTACGCTCACCCTCAGTAATTTTTATCAACATTTCACCGGATTTTTTGGCCATGAGAAGGTCGAAGTCGAGTCTGCACGTATCCCATTTTACTCGGTTAGGGCCTTACAATGTTTTTGTGCAGTAGTTACTTTATCACTAACAAAGTGTCAGCCCATCCGTACTGATTTTACATGGATCGGGCAAAGTATGAATCTACAAACGCGTATGTTGAGGATGAATATCATTCATTCGCTGACCAAGAGACACGAGCACGCTTCGGGTACGTATGGTCAACAAGTTCATGAGTGTGTTTTAAAGCATTCTGGTAAATCACTACTAGACTTGAAAGATCATGTTCGAACTCGCATTATTTGACAAGCTCGCATGTTCCTTCAAGAAAACTAACGAAAACGCGTCGGAACCCACTCATGACTTGCTAAGCAAACTTATGCAAAGCGTGCCCGTGTCTAATAGTCAGAGAATGGATGGCACCTTCTCTTAGATTTGAATTTTGTGATGTGGGAAATGTACAAACAATGTTGGCGAAAACACTACAGCTTTGATACGGATCGATAAATAAGAAGCAGACGGGTAAAGCTCACAAAGCATGGCAATAAGTAAATGTCCTAATTCAGATGGCACCGAACGCGCTAACATGGACAAAACTGGAAAGCAAGTGCCCACAGTCACTAGAACCCTACATTGAATCATCGCTTGGATGGTCGCTTGGAGATTGCTAATCATGTTGTAGTGATGTTTTGACGATGACTATGCATTTGTCCTTTGAAAGAACAGGGTGGTGATCCCCAGTGCGGCGACTGTTCTTCGCGTGAACTGCATACTTTGCGTAGATGATGCGAAAAGCAACAACAAGAAGTGCTTGCAGTCTCAATATTTATGACTCTATAACACAGTGTGGAAGATCAATTATGAAGACTGTTATACCAGCAATTAGCGAGCAGTGAGTAAGTCCGCGAAGGATAACGTGCTCCAATCGATTGGCACTGGGGCGCGCCTCATTTTCCCCACCAGTTCCGCGGCCGTTTATGGGCGTTCCACTTTGCCACCGCCCTCTATTCCAAGCGCTTCGCAACCAGCAGCTGCAAAATTCTGCATAACTTTTTCTACAGGTGTTTGTTGCTGATACCGAGGTCAGATTAAGATCATTGGAAAACCTCGAACATGATGAATTTCGATTGCCTTTACGTCACTGCAAATTAATCATCCTTCTCTAGTTAGATACTTTTGTGACTGAAAAGCGAGTGGTTTCTGCCAGCTTAGCTTTATATCTCATATTATATCCAAAACAGCATCGAAAATGAGTATCATTATTGAAAACAAGAAATTCTGATCTCATGTTTAGTTGCAGAGCTTACAAATAGTCATCTACCTATTACAAACACAATTTTTTTGTGCAAGCTAGAGTCCAAATTTCAGCATAATCTGGTCTACACCAAGCGTGGAGTAAAACTATTTTTCAAACCCATTTTGTAAAGCCTTCTTCGCTCTATTTGAGAGCGTTCCGAAGTTCCGAAAGATGAAAGATACGTAGGTCTGTGCAAGACGGACTAATATAAAGCAACCTAGTAGTTTAGGTAAACCTTGCTTTACAGAATTCCTTGTACGTATGATATGTCACGACGACATAATAATTGAGTTCTCCGTTTTGTGATAATGATGCCGATGTACTTCTGCTTGACATAAAATTGAGTCCAGAGCCTTGGCCATGTATTTACAAGTCTGGTGCATTCAAATTCAAACAATCTTGCAATAGTGACTGTGCTTGATTTGCACTACTGCGCCATCTGGTCAATTCCAACTAGACTGTACTTCTGCTTTTACGTTTGATGTAGATTCAATGTACATTTAGCGAGATCGCTTAGTTAACACATTGATTATAGTACGGAACCGGCAACTTTAGAGTTCATCAATATGCGCATTATGTGCAAGACGGTGGCAGTTGGACTCTGCTTCAAAATGAACCGGTTCGCTTCGAAAGCTTGATTCTTCAAGCAAGTGACTACTTTTCATTACTGAAAAACTTTTTGCGCAGTAAGGAATAGTATAAGATGCCAGTGCCCCTCATACGCGTCGTACTGCTGATATTACTGTCGGAATTAGTGGCAGACTTTCTCTCCCCCCCCCCCTTTTTATATGTGCTCCCTCAACCTCTTAGGGTGGAGCAAGCTTGTTGCTGGTGTGATGTACGGTCGAGTGTATAGTAAACATTAAACCGAGCCGAATGATCACTCAATTGTTCGAAGAAACCATCTGAATGCAAAGTCAAATCGTTGTTTGGAATGAATTTTACAATAATTGATGGTCATTGACCTGATCATTTAATGTTAATGCTAGTCGAGTATCTGAACATGGGAGGAACTTCGAAAAATCGCGTAATCGGTAACTGGACAACAACAGGGTGTCTTGAAAGTATATACTCAATTTTTGATCATTGACATCTCTTACAACAGATTATTTCTACGACTTTCAGAAGTCATTTTGTAGAAGGCCAAGATTCGAGTATGACCTAGAGTCAAGGTAACCATGTTATTCGATAGGGCAAAGTTAACCGCGTTTTTTTCTGTTCCTCATGTGATCGCATCATTTAACAAGCCAAAAAGATCGTAGAAAGTTTGGTACTAAAACCAGTGTAAGCTTAAAATCTCCTAAGTAGGCAATCAGGAATGCTGACCTTGAATATGAAAGTTGTTTAGCTCAATGCTTTGGTTAGAAGTCATGCCAGTATATCCTCATTTCTTTAATATATACGAACTCTCCATGTTCGTATTGTACTTTGCGCCTCAAGAATTCCGCGTGACTAATAGCGACAGAAGCGCGAAGTTTCTCACTGTCTCGTATCTATTGTATCGTTAGCTGTTAGCCTTATCTGCGATATTCTCATGCTTACTGGTTTTTGTTTATAGTTGCCTACATAAATAAGTGGCCGGCATAGTTTAGCGAGCACTGATTATGATTTTATGCTTTGTATCTCATCGAATTGTTTTCCCTCAGCTGCCTTACTACCGCACGGAGTCACAATTTAGTCAATGTCCTTTTACGGATCGCTCACAGCAACTCACAGGATATCCGGTTGACATATATTGCACCTATACTCCTTATGCATTATCGTAATCGCGCATTATAGTTGCTAGTTGCTTCTTGGTAATAAAGGTTTAATTACCCAATATTCGCTGTGCGCAAAGACCCGCGTGGCAGCCAATCAATCGATCACAGTCCACTCACAGAGCGTACAGTGTACTCATGTGACCACATCATCTAGAAAAACGTGGCCTTGGAAAGCAAACTAATGGAATCAGTGTAGGGCGAAAATCTCTTAAGCTAGGCAATAAGGGTTGCTTACCATAGATATGGAAGATCTTTAGCGTAATGCTTTGTTTGTAAATCATAGAAATCTAGATCGTCTTGTGAGTGTACCTTATGTAATTATTAGAAACAAATTAGATTAGATTAGATTAAATCAAATTCCTCATTTAAATCAAGAAAGACTCTAGAAAGCTAACTACTAAAACCAGTGTAGGCGAAAACCTTGCTACAAGCTATCAAATTTTTTAAAGGGTCATTGAATGGCGCTCTATACTGGGAGTCCCTCATTAATCTCCATTGGTGAAGAGCGATTTGCAAATATTGTATTTCTATTATACTTTTGAGGCTTTTTTACAGAATGTACCTGAATCTTGTGATAGGACTAGATATTTTGTGGGAGGAGGGATAACGGTCAAACAGTGCGTGCATATCTTGAAACATTGAATCAGCAGAGAAGCTCATGGAAATTTATGTTGAATTCAACGGGTTGAACTAAAAAGAATTTCAATGGGCCGTTCTTATATCTGGTATATGCTGTCGATTTCACTAGTTAGCGCGCCACGATTTGGACATATATTTGTTCAAAATTCTTAAAATTTGCACAGTCGTCATAGGTACTTACACTTATGTACTTAGATGACCCGTCCTCTGTGATGTGTGGGCCCCAGTACAGAACTTTTCAGTGTTTTCTGTCTTTCGCTTCGGACATCCACGATTTTCTTGGTGGTCGTTGGCGGCTGCGTTTACGACTTCAGGGGCGAAAGTCGCTTCCAGCTGATTTTTTAGCTGTTTCATCCTTCCACGAACTATCTGCTCATCTCGTTGGAGGTCCCTGAGGAAGTTTTGCTTCGGAGGAATTCACTCCGATATTCTTAGTGACCATCTGTCGCTGTTTTTTTTTCATGATGTGACAAGCCCATCAGTGCTTCCCTTTCGCAACGCATCCCTTTCGCAACGCATTTTCTTGGTTGTCGTTGGCGGCTGCGTCTACGACTTTCAAGGGCGAAAGTCGCTTCCAGCTGATTTCTTAGCTGTTTCGTTCCATGAACTATCTGCTCATCTCGTTGGAGGTCCCTGAAGTTTCGCTTTGGAGGAATTCACTCCGATATTCTTAGTGACCATCTGTCGTCTGTTCTTTTTCATGATGTGACAAGCCCATCAGTGCTTCCCTTTCGCAACGCATCCCTTTCGCAACGCATTTTCTTGGTTGTCGTTGGCGGCTGCGTCTACGACTTTCAAGGGCGAAAGTCGCTTCCAGCTGATTTCTTAGCTGTTTCGTTCCATGAACTATCTGCTCATCTCGTTGGAGGTCCCTGAAGTTTTGCTTTGGAGGAATTCACTCCGATATTCTTAGTGACCATCTGTCGTCTGTTCTTTTCATGATGTGACAAGCCCATCAGTGTTTCCCTTTCGCAAGCATCCCTTTAGCATCCTTTTTTTTTTTGAAGATTTTTAGATTTTAGGCCTATACTGATTCTATTCGTTAGCTTTCCAGAGTCTTACTGTTTTTCTAGATGGTCACATGAGGGAAAGTTGGAAAAACAGTATTACCTTAAAACTGAAATAACTATGAAAGAAGCATTGAAGTATTGCAAATTTCGCGTTTAAGATCAAAACTCCAATTAGCTGAGTACAAAAGTTTCTGGCTTGTTTGATTTTCTTTTGAGGCAAAGACCTCGAAGTTCCTATCGTGACCCTAAAGTAACAAAGAAAAATTGAAAATCCGTTCTATGCTGTAAATCTAAGTCAAACATTGCTCTGCATGATGGTACCCTAAGCTCGGCGAAAGGCGTTCAACCATGAGACTTATTGACGATCAAACAGCATGCACATCTTTTTGGGAAACCCTGTTTAACACTCATTTGCCTAGATATTTCAAAGTACACCTATTTGTCTTTTTACTCAAATCTTTATTATATTAGATTCGGCCGTCTCAAGAATGCAGAAGGAATATTTGAATTCAGAAAAGGGATTAAAAAGATTATACCTCCGTAATTGTGCACTCCCTTTAAATATTACTAGGATGTCGATAAAGATTACGGTCAAATATTAGGTTTTCCCAAAAGTAAACCGTATTTTTGCATAAATCAAACTGTTCTTGTTTTTCTGGGAAACTTGGGGCACCATTCGATAGAGCGAAGCAAGCTCTACAAAATGAATACCAAAGAACCGCCTAAGTCACTATCCAGGTAAAATTTAGAACCAAAAATCAAAACTTTTCAGCTACCCTAAAAATCTCCTTCCAGATAATTCCTATGGACTCCCAAGTTGGTCCTTATATAGTGGACACATAGTAGTATCGAAAAATGTTTTTGCTTGATTTCTTCCGGAGTTCAAAATTGAGAAACAAAGGGGGTCCCAAAATGCAAATGCCACTTTTTTCAGGTTTTTTTAAATGTAAAACTTGGTATTTCTC